TCAGCGGCTAATTCTCTGCTCCCCTCGCCCACGAGAGGCAGGAAGACTGACTTGGGCAACGTCCCACCAGTATCCTTGCTTTTTCCTGGTCTTCACCTATTTCTTTCTTTCTAGTTTTTTATTTCCATAGGTTTTTGGGGAATAGGTGGTATCTGGTTATGTGAGTGGTGATCTGCGAGATTTTGGTGCACCCATCACCCCCAGCAGTATACACTGAAACCAATTTGTAGTCTTTTATCCCTCACCTCCTTCCCCCACTTTCCCACACCAGTCCCCAAATTCGGTTTGGTTTTGTTTTTGAGGCGGAGTCTCACTCCATTGCTCAGGCTGGAGTGCAGTGGCGGCGATCTCAGCTCACTGCAACCTCCGCCTCCCAGGTTCAAGCAATTCTCCTGCCTCAGCCTCCTGAGTAGCTGGGATTACAGGCATGTGCCACCACGCCCGGCTAATTTTTGTATTTTTAGCAGTGACAGGGTTTCTCCATGTGGGCCAGGCTGGTCTCAAACTCCTGACCTCAGGTGATCCACCCGCCTCAGCCTCCCAAAGTGCTGAGATCACAGGCGTGAGCCACCATGCCTGGCCCCATTTTATCATTCTTACGCCTTTGCATCCTCATAGTTTGGCTCCCACTTGTGAGTGAGTTTCCGTTCCTGAGTTACTTCATTTAGTATAATAGTCTCCAGTTCCATCCAGGTTGCTGCTAATGCCATTAATTCATTACTTTTTATGGCTGAGTAGCATTCCATCGTATGTCTATACCGCTGTTTCTTTACCCAGTCATTGATTGATGGGTGTTCGGGCTGTTTCCACGCTTTTGCAGTCGCGAATCTGCCCCCAACCCCAATCTGGTTAAATCTGATTTGTCCTTTAAGATTCCCTGAGGCTGGCTGGGCACGGCGGCTCATGCCTGCAATCCCCGTGCTTTAGGAGGCAGAGGCTGGCGGGTCACGAGGTCAGGAGTTGGAGATCAGCCTGGCCAAGATGGTGAAATCCTGTCTCTACTTAAAATACAAAAATTAGCTGAGCACAGTGGCGTGAGCCTGCAATCTAGCTACTCAGGAGGCTGAGGCAGGAGCATTGCTTCAACCCAAGAAGCAGCGGTTGCAGTGACAGAGCCAGACTCCATCTCAAAAATAAAAATAAAGATTTCCCGAGGTTGTCCCTTGCTCTATGAAGCCACCTCCCCTCCTCGCACCTGCTTTCCCTACACTGCTCTATTCAAATGCAGAATTTCTGTGGCACTGTTTATGTGCTTAGAAAAACTTGGCAAAGGAGGAGCAAACCTCAAAGTAGGGGAAAAAACAAAGTCAGAACTTGCCAAAGACGGTCTGTTCCTGCAACTCCTGAGAAAGAAAAAACAGCGCTTCTGGAGGAGGCAGGGAGCAGGCGTCAGGCCTGGGCTCTGCTGGTTATTTTTAGAGCCCAGTGAAAGATCAGAAAGATAGATTCCCTTCGCATTAATCTCTTTGCGTCAGGCCAGGTCATTTAAGCCCTGGGAGGAGCCGTCATTTTGCACGTGGTTAAAGAAAGTGAACTAGGAACGTCAGAGTTGCTCCCGGACCCCTTTGAGGTCCCTAAATTGTATTAGTTTCCAAAAGCAAGACGTCAGCATGGCCACGTCCTCTGTCAAAGCTTAAGAGTCTGGCCCACGCCTCTCTCCTGGCCCTTGGGAAATGCTAGCAATCTTTGCATTCTTTGGCTTATGACTGTGTCACCCCAATCTCTGCCTGTCTTCATCTACCATCTTGCCTCTGTGTGTATTTGTCTTTTATAAGAACATCAGTCAGATTGGATTCAAGGCCCACCCAACTCCACCAGTATCACCTCACCTTAACTAATCACATCTTCAAAGACCCAATTCCCAAATAAGTTCACGTTCTGAGATTCTGGTAAGGACGTGAGTCTGGAGGAGACACACTCGCACGTGCTCGCTCTCTCTCTCTCCCTCCCCCCCACTTTTTTTTTTTTAAGACAGAGTCTCTCTCTGTCACCAGGCTGGAGCGCAGTGGCTTGATCTTGGTTCACTGCAACCTCTGTCTCCTGGGTTCAAGCAATTCACCTGCCTCAGCCTCCCAAGTAGCTGGGAGTACAGGCATGCGTCACGATACCCAGCTATTTTTGTGTGTGTTTTTAGTAGAGACGGGGTTTCACCACGTTGGCCAGGATAGTCTCGAACTCCTGACCTTGTGATCTATCTGCCTCGGCCTCCCAAAGTGCTGGGATTACAGGTGTGAGCCCCCACGCCCAGCCTGGGGGAACACTCTCTAACCAAGTTCACTAACCTAACCCTGATCACACTAACCTAACCCTGATAACCCTGGCTCAACGGAGCAGTGGCAGGTAGACGTGCCTGAGATGAAGCACCAAAGGTGCTGACTGTGGATGAAAAGGAGCTGGCCTGGCCCCTATACCTGTGTCCCCCCTATACCTATAGTAGTGAGGGAAAAGGAAAAGAAAAATCAGTGGGGAAAATTCCAACCTCAGAAGCGGCTTGCCTGAAAAGTCACAGCAACTGGCAAAATTAAGCCTGCACACAGATAAGCAGACGGGGTCCCGTGCAGAAGCCCTTTGTTCTTTGTAAAACTAGCAGGCTCCCAGGAAAAAGTTTCCTCCCCTTTTCAGACACATACACAGTGGGCTCCATGGAAACTGGCACAGGGAGGAGGGGCTCACCTCAAACAAACCCACAGTTACACAAACAAGAGAAGCAGCGCTTTGTGCTTGCCTAGAGACAAGCATGAGGGGAGTTGCACAAGCAGCTTTACTGATACGCTACTCAGTTACAGCGAGGAGAGCAGTTTCTCATAAAAGTTTTTTGCGGCCAGGCACAATGGCTGACACCTGTAATCCCAGCACTTTGGGAGGTCGAGGCAGGCAGATCACCTGAGGGCAGGAGTTGGAGACCAACCTGGCCAACACGGTGAAACTTAGTCTCTACTAAAAATACAGAAATTAGTGGGGCGTGGTGGCGTGCACCTATAATCCCAGCTACTGGGTGTAAGGTCATTTAGGCTGATGGCACCACGGACCGCATGGTAACCTCTGTGACCTGCATGTACACCTCCAGATGAGTTCCTAGAAACAGAAAGTCTGCAGTAACTGGAAAACCACAAAAGGGAAGTAATGAGACATTCTTTTTTTTTTTTTTTTTTTTTTTTTGAGACAGAGTGTCGCTCTTGTTACTCAGGCTGGAGTGCAATGGCGTGATCTCAGCTCACCACAACCTCCACCTCCTGGGTTCAGGCAATTCTCCTGCCTCAGCCTCCTGAGTAGCTGGGATTACAGGCACGCGCCACCATGCCCAGCTAATTTTTTGTATTTTTAGTAGAGACGGGGTTTCACCATGTTGATCGGGATGGTCTCGATCTCTTGACTTCGTGATCCACCCGCCTCGACCTCCCAAAGTACTGGGATTACAGGCTTGAGCCACCGCGCCCGGCCGAGACATTCTTCTATTGTTCCTATTCCCACCTCAACTGACAAGGCCATTGGACTTTGTAACTGACCTTGGTCAACCTCATGACTGCAGACCCTACATCCCCCTCCCAGCTTGCCCTAAACTGTAACTTCTGTAACTTTCCACTGCCTACCCAAAACCTGTAAAACCAACTCTTATCCCACCACCCTCCCTGACTCTCTTTTCGGACTCAGCCCGCCAGCACAGGAGTGAATAAACAGCCATGTTGCTCACACAAAGCCTGTTTGGGGGGGGATCTCTTTGTTCAGAGTGTGCGTTTTAACACTCAGAAAGCTGAGGCAGGAGAATCATTTGAACCTGGTGAGGCAGAGGTTGCAGTGAGCTGAGATCACACCACTGCACCCCAGCCTGGACAACAAGAGCAAAACTCTGTCCCAAAAATATATATATATATATTTGTTGTATTTAGCGGTAAATCTGACAATCCACTCGGACATCCCTCTCCACTTCGGAGAGCTTTCTTCTTTCCCATATTAAACATTTGCTCCAACCCCACCCTGGTGTCCATACTCCTTAATTTTCTTGGAGGTAGGACAAAGAACCCTGGGTACTAGTTCAGACAAGGAGAAACTGCTACATTAAGGTGCATCGGCAAGACTGCAACAGTATCAGGCCAGCTAGACTTGCCATGGCTCCTGGAATGGCCATGCACTGCGCCAGCACCAAATCGTCACCTAACCCTGGACCCTGCACCGGGAGAAGGGGCCTGAAGAGACTAAGCCTCTCAGAGGAAGCTTGAAGCACATGCTACAAAATAAACTGGATTCTACACCCAGGGCCAGCTTCATGGGCTCACTCAGAAGGGCCCTGGCTTGCTGTAACCATTTGCTCTGGCCATCTTGAAATTCTGTTATGTTTTCTGGGTTTTTTAGCAAGCGTCCCAGGTTTTCATTTTGCACTGAGTCCCACAAACTATGTAACTGACCTGTCTTCAAAAATGTCAAGGTCATAAAAGACAAAAGGCTGAGGAAGCTTCCAGATTAAGGGAGATCAAAGAGACATGACAACTAAAAGCAACTCCTGGATTACAACAGGGTCGGAGGCCCGGAGTGGGATAGCTATAAGCCCCTCCCCAGCCAAAAAAAAAAAAAAGACATTATAGGGGAAATTGCCAAAATGTAAAGGTTAGCTGTGGATGAGATCACATAACGGCGTCACTGGGAAATGCCCTAATGTCATTTGTCCTGTGGTTTAAAAAATGCCCTTGTTCTTAGGAGATGCATAGTGAGGTACGGGGGAAAGAATCATGATGTCTGCAATCTGGTTGCCATTGGTTCAGGAAAAAAACAAAGTACAATTGATTAAACAGGACAATCCCAAAAAAATTGCTAACCATGAATACAAGTTCTACGGGAGTTCTTTATGCTCTCCTTACAACTTTCTGTAGGTTTGAGATTGCATCAAGATAAAAAGTCACCCGCGCCCCCCTACCCCCCGCCCCCGGCCAAAAAGAGCATTGGCAATTCAGTCCAAGCTGAAAGCCGCCACCCAGGGACTTGAGTCACGTGAAGCGAGCCCACGTGACCGGAGGCCCGGGTCCAACATGGCGGCCTCCACGGGTCGCTGGCTTGTCCTCCGGCTTGCGCTACTCGGCTTCTTCCGGGAGGCGTCCGGCGGCCTCGGCTCAGGGTGAGTGCGGCTCCCGGGGCAAGCCTGGTTCGGGGGTGGGTCCCCCCTGTCTTCTGACCTCACGAGGACAGCCCTCCGAGCTCACGCCCGCCCGTCCCCACAGGGCCTCTCGCGACGACGACTTGCTGCTGCCCTATCCACGCGAGCGCGCGCGCCTGCCCCGGGACTGCACACGGGTGCGCGCGGGCAGCCGCGAGCACGAGAGTTGGCCTCCGCCCCCCGCGACCCCCGGCGCCGGCGGCCTGGCCCTGCGCACCTTCGTGTCGCACTTCGGGGACCGCGCGGTGGCCGGCCACCTGACCCGGGCCGTTGCGCCCCTGCTCACCTTCTCGGTGCTGGAGCCCGGCGGGCCCGGCGGCTGCGCGGCGAGACGACGCGCCACCGTGGAGGAGACGGCGCGGGCGGCCGGCTGCCGCGTCGCCCAGAACGGCGGCTTCTTCCGCATGAACACGGGCGAGTGCCTGGGAAACGTAGTGAGCTACGAGCGGCGGGTGAGCAGCTCCGGGGGGCTGCAGAACGCGCAGTTCGGGATCCGCCGCGACGGGACCTTGGTCACCGGGTGAGGAGGCAGGGAGACCCGTGCTGTCGCGGGCAGAGGGGCCGAGATATGGGTTGTAGCCGTGCCTCGGTGTTCCAGTCACTTAACCAAGCTGAGCCTCTGTTTCCTCATCTACGGAATGGGGATAGGAATCGCTTCCTTGCAGACTTCATTCAGCATCCAGCATCACTGAGCACTTGCTTGTTTGAGGCAATGTGCTGCGCCCTGGTTACGATATTAGTGAGCAACACACAGTCTTTGCCTTAACAGACCTCCCCCATTACTAAAACAATCAACAAAAGCCAGGTAAATCCGTAACATACATTCTGATCGCTCTGTATGCAACAAAGCAACCATCGGGGTGAACCGGTTGTAAATCCAGTGTTGATTTTAGGGAGGGTGATCTGGAACAGGCCTCTCCGAGGTGACCTTTGAGTTGAGACTTTAAGATTAATCACTAAGTCAGCCCAAGTCAGAACTGGAGGAGGAGCATTTCAGTCCAAAGGAACCCCAAGTACAAAGGCTCAGAGGTGCAGGGGCTTCTGTGTGTGTGAGAGACTGAAAAAGGTGTCAGACACCAAATCAGCGAGATTGATGATTTGAATTGTTTTAAATTATTTGAGGCTGGGCACGGTGGCTCACACCTGTCACCCCAACATTTTGGGAAGCCAAGGAAAGTGGATTACCTGAGGTCAGCCTGGCCAACATGGCAAAACTTCATTTCTACTAAAAATATAAAAATTAGGTTGGGAGCGGTGGCTCACCCCTTTAATCTCAGCATTTTGAGAGGCTGAGGTGGGCAGATCCCCAGGTCAGGAGTTAAAGACCATCCTGGCCAACATGGTGAAACCCTGCCTCTACTAAAAATACAAAAAAAAATTGCTGGGTGTGGTAGCAGGCACCTGTAATCCCAGCTACTTGGAAGACTGAGGCAGGAGAATCACTTGAACCCGGGAGGCAGAGGTTGCAGTGAGGTGAGATTCTACCACGGCACTCCAGCCTTGGCAACAGAGCAAGATTCCATCTCAAAAAAAAAAAAAAATTAGGCATGGTGGTGGGCACCTGTAATCCCAGCTGCTCGGGAGGCTGAGGCAGAAGAATTGCTTGAACCCAGGAAGTGTAGGTTGCAGTAAGCAAAGGTAGCACCACTGCACTCCAGGCTGGGCAACAAGAGTGAGAATCGGTCTCAAAAAACAAACAAAAAAATTATTTGATGATGTCAAAGCTTGTTCTGATCCTAAGTGGAATCAGGTGGGAGAGATCGGGGAGAAACGAGGAAGCCAATGAAGAGGGCGTTACTGGGATCAGGTGGTAGTTGGGCTGAGTATGGCCTGGAGATTGAGGGCCATAGATGGATTTGAGCTCTGTTGGGGGCTGGTTGTTTCTATTCAATGGAACTTACACTGTTTACAAAGGCGCATGGGGATCGTATTGTAAGAACCCTCTCTGGCTTCAGCTCTGACAACAGGCAGATTGCTAGGGCTGTAAAATTGTCTCAGCCACACTCAGGCCCCAACATGTTCCTGAGGCCGGGGAAATCTAGCCACCAGGCTGGGATGGCCAGGGGGAAAGGAACCTAACTCCCTGCAGCTGCCCCTGCTGGTGAGTGAGCTTCCTACCTTCCCTGGATCCAGGTACCTGTCTGAGGAAGAGGTGCTGGACACTGAGAACCCCTTTGTGCAGCTGCTGAGTGGTGTCGTGTGGCTGATTCGTAATGGAAGCATCTACATCAACGAGAGCCAAGCCACCGAGTGCGACGAGACACAGGAGACAGGTTGGATGCAGAGGCTGTTGGCAACAGCCTTCTTGAGGACCAGGACCAGTGGGCTGTGGGGAGCTGTTCTTAAGTCTTTCAACAAGTTTTTATTGAGCAGCTACTTTGTGCCCAGCACTATTCTGGGTTCTGGGGATTCATGGGAATGAAGACAGGCTTTTATGGAATATATAAGAATGAAAATAGTGGTAGAATATGCTGAAAAGAATGGGTAAGTGCTCAGAAAGAAAAATAAAGTTGGAGGAAAGGGGAGAGACGGGGACAGGAGCTATGGGCGCTGGAAAAGAAAAGTGAAGAGAAAAACATCTTCATGGACCTGCAACATCAGCATGGCCCAGGAGCTTGTTCCAAAGCCCCACCCACCTCAGACCTTCAGATTCAGAAGCGAGGCTCAAGAGTCTGTTTTAACAGGTCTCCATGGTGATTCCGATGGACACTCAAGGTTGAGGACCACTGGGATGCAGAATCCTGGGGTGGGGACGGGATACCATGGTGCTGATATGGGCGTGGGCTCTTTTAGAGTCAGCAGTAAGCTGGGTGTGTGGCTCACACCTGTAATACCAGCACTTTGGGAGACAGAGGTGGGAGGATCCCTTGAGCCCACGAGTTTAAGACCTACCTGGGCAACACAGTGAGATCCATCTCCACCAAAAAAAAAAAAATATGAAAATGAGCCAGACGTGGTGCTGTGTGCCTACATGTAGTCGCAGCTATTTAGGAGGCTGAGGTAGGAGAATTGGTTGAACCCCAGAGGTGGTTGCAGTGAACCAAGATCGCACCACTGCATTCCATCCTGGGTGACACAGCAAGAGTCTGTCTTGAGAAAAAGAGAGTGAGCAGTGAAGGAATGCCTCACTAAGCAGGTGATCGGACAAAGGAACAAGCCGTGGGAGAGCTAGAGAAAAGCTCAGTTCTGGGCCAGAGGGAACAGGGAGTGAAAGTGGCTGCAGGGTGGTGAGCAGATTCCCAGGAGTTGAGGCAGGAAGAGGAAGAGGCTGGGGAGGGCACGCTGGCCCTTTGGACCTTGTTCTAAGAACGGGGGAAACCGTGAGAGGGTTTTCATCTGGAGGCCTGCACAGCTCAGTTTACCTTTAAGAGGAGCCCTCCTGGCTGCCGTGGGGAGACTGGGATGTGCAGACAGGAGGCTGGGAGATGAGCAGGGAGGCCGCTGTGCTTCCCAGGGAGATACCTCGTAGCTCAGACCGGTGGGAAGTGGTTCGGCCAGAGGCAGGAGGCCTCCCGAGGGGCTGGTGATCAGCCAGCCTGCTTCTCCTTCAGGTTCCTTTAGCAAATTTGTGAATGTGATATCAGCCAGGACGGCCATCGGCCACGACCGGAAGGGCCAGCTGGTGCTGTTTCATGCAGACGGCCAAACGGAGCAGCGTGGGTGAGTCCTGGGAGCTGAGGACCCCCGGCCGGGGCTCAGTCCTGCTGGCAGGAACACTGACCCAACCACAGCCACCCTTCTAACTTTACCTGCTTTCCAGGGTGTTCACACCTATATGTCCCTTACCCAGAGGCCCCCCTCCCCCCCACCCACCCCGCCTTCCTGCAGGATGAGGGTCCTGAGATCTTTCCCAATTCTAAGAACTCATCATCTCCAGCTTTAGGCCTCACTCTCCTGAGCCCTGGTTGGGATACAAGGAAGTGGTCCCAAAGTTAGTAGGGAGGAGACCTTGGTTCCAATCCCAGCTCAGCCATCCTGTGTCGTAGACAAATCACTCAGCCTCTCTGAGTCGCATTTCCATCCTCTGGAAACAGAGTGGGTTGGTTTGCTCGGGCTGCATAACTAGCACACATTTAGCAGCACCTCACCGGGAGTGTCCTTTTGTTTGTTTGTTTCTTTGAGACCCAGTCTCACTCCGTCACTCAGGCTGAAGTGCAGTGGTGCAATCTCAGCTCACTGCAACCTCCACTTCTTGGGTTCAGGCAGTCCTCCCACCCCAGCCTCCCGAGTAGCTGGGATTACAGGCCCCTACCTCCACACCTGACTAATTTTTGTGTTTTTAGTAGAGATGGGGTTTCAACATGTTGGCCAGGCTGGTCTCAAACTTCTGACCTCAAGTGATTCTCCCGCCTCGGCCTCCCAGAATTCTGAGATGACAGGCATGAGTCACTGCACCTGGTTAGTTTTTCTATCTGTAGTACAGACAGGGTTTCAGCATGCTGGCCGGGCTGGTCAACTTGGAAGGTTCTATGTTGAGGGTATCCCATGGACAAGATGCTGGTTGGGCAGAGCTTTTCTCGTATATGGGAAAGATCGTCTTGTTTAGGTTATTGGCGAAATTTATGTTCTCTCGGTTGTGAGACTGGAGTCTTGGCTTCCCTGCTGGCCGCCATCTGGGGCCTCAGCTCCTTCAAACTGCCCGGGTTCCTTCCCACGTGTGTCCCCCGCTCCCACTTGTCCAGCTACCCTCTCATCCCCCTCGTATTTCAGATCTCACTTGCTCTTCTACCACCAGGCAGTTCTCTGTGTTTAAGGGCTCCTGTGATTCCAGGGGCCCCACCCAGATCCTCCGGGCCATGTCCCCTCCCTTAAGGTCCCTGTGCCGTGTAACCGCACAGGCATGGGTGTGATCGCGTGTGTTCACGGCTTCCGGGGACTAGGGCGAGACATGTTTAGGGGCGGGGACCACTTAGCAGTGTGCCTGCACTGTGGGTGTGACGCCGTGCCCTCTGGAAGGCAGAGGAGTTAAATTGGTACCAGTGGTGGGCGCCGAGCCTGAGCAGAGCCGCTTTGTGCCGCAGCATCAATCTTTGGGAGATGGCAGAGTTCCTGCTGAAACAGAATGTGGTCAACGCCATCAACCTGGATGGGGGTGGATCTGCCACCTTCGTGCTCAACGGAACGTTGGCCAGTTACCCGTCAGATCACTGGTAAGCACATGAGAGTCCGCCTTCGTGACAGCTGCAGCTCAGGTCTGCCCCAGCCTGTCTCATTCAGCCAGTGGTGAGTGCCTGCTTTGTGCCAGGCCCCGGGGATTCAAGAGAAATTGCTGCAGTCCCTCCCCCAGGATGCTAGTACTACCCAGGCCTGGGAACAGGGGTCAGTTGGTCAGCAGAGACCTCTATGACAAAAACGCAGAAGTGAGATCTGAAGGCGGTGGTAGCTGGGTGGGGTGGGAGAGCCTTCCAGGCAGAGGGCACCACGTTTGCAAAGGCCCGGTGCTGGTGGGGATTACAGGGAACGGAAGAACCTATGAAAGGCTGGAGAGGACCCGGTACTGGGGCTCACACCTGGAGTCCCAGTGCTTTGGGAGGCCAAGGTGGGAGGATCTTCTGAGCCCAGGAGTTCAAGACCAGCCTGGGCAACATGACGAGACCCCGTCTCTACAAAAAAATTAAAAAATTTAGCTGGGCCTGGTGGTGCATACCTTTAGTCCCAGCTGCTCGGGAGGTTGAGGTGGAAGGATGGAAATACTTCATCTCAAAGGTAGGGAGGTAGATAAGATGGATGGGTGGGTGGGTGGAAGGAAGGAAGGAAAGACAGACAGACAGACAGACAGACAAGGTAGGGAGGTAGATAATCGGATGGATGGGTAGGTAGGTAGGTAGGTAGGTAAGGTAGGCAGATAGATAAGCTAGGCAGGCAGGGAGGGAGGGAGGTAGACAGAAGAGAATGTAGAGAGGGGCTGGGGGGCAGCCCTGGGGGAGTTGAGGGGCTGTCTGGGGGTGGCCTGTCCTCACATACTCCTCTCTGCAGCCAGGACAGTATGTGGCGCTGTCCCCGCCAAGTGTCCACCGTGGTGTGTGTGCACGAGCCCCGCTGCCAGCCACCCGACTGCCATGGCCACGGAACCTGCGTGGACGGCCACTGCCAATGCACCGGGCACTTCTGGCGAGGCCCCGGCTGCGGCGAGCTGGACTGCGGCCCCTCCAACTGCAGCCAGCACGGGCTGTGCACAGAGAGTGAGTAGGGGCTCCGGGGAGGGGGCTCTGGCCGGCCCTACCTTGCCCGGGCCCTCACCTGGCCTCCCCGGTCTTATCTCGGCAGCTGGCTGCCGCTGTGATGCCGGATGGACTGGGTCCAACTGCAGTGAAGGTAGGAGCCGCCACGCCACCCGTGGATGGGGAGACGGTGGCCCCGGCAGCGTCCGCTGCTCCCCTGCTGCCCCGTCCCCTCCTTCTGGTCTCGGAACTGCTTGCCTCTTGTCTCTTGCCCCTCCCTCGCCTGCATGTCACTGCGCGATTCCCCTGCGGCCGCTGTGGCCCATTCCACAAAGGGCTTGGCTAAAACAAGGACCCCCGGGCCTTGGTTCCAGACCCACCTTAAATCCAGGGTGATCTCATCTGGAGATCCTAACTGAAGTCCCTCTGCAAAGATTCTGCTTCCAAATAAGGTCACACTCAGGGCTAGCCCAGGGAGGCAGGCAGTGCTTTGCCTTTAGCCCAGCTCTTCGTGCGTGGGGCAGGGCGGATACCCTGCCCTGTCAAGAGAGGCTCTGACACCGGAGGCCTTGAAGTCCCTTCTCCCATCTCCTCTCCATAGAATGTCCCCTTGGCTGGCACGGGCCGGGCTGCCAGAGGCCTTGCGAGTGTGAGCACCAGTGTCCCTGTGACCCCCAGACTGGCAACTGCAGTGTCTCCGGAGGTATCTGCCCCTCCCAGGGGAAGGGCCATGGGCAGACGCTCTGCTCCGGCCCCTGCAGCCTGTCTGTGGTTTCTTACAGTAAAGCAGTGTCTGCAGCCACCTGAAGCCACCCTGAGGGCGGGAGAACTCTCCTTTTTCACCAGGTAGGTGTCTCTGTGGGAGCTGGAACCAGGGTGGGAGGAATTCCCTTCTCTCCCGCTCTCTTCTCCTGCGAGGTCTGCCTCTGCCCGGGACTGAGCAAGGCTTTAGAAAGTGTGGTCTTGGTATCCAGCTGGTATTTCCAGATGTAGGCCTGGGACAGTCACAGCTGTTGCTGGCAGCCACAGGACAATCTAGGAAGATGGTGAGAAGGGCCCCATGCTACTACCCCATTGAGACTGATCAGGAAAGGCTGAGGTGTGCATTTTCCCGGCCCGAAGACTCAGGACTGACTTTCTCAGCTCCTGGTACAAAGACCCCCAGACCTGAGACGCTCGCGTCGTCTCTCAAGCGCCCTGGTGCCCTTGGGCCTGGATTGGTGATTTTCTGTTTTCTAATGCAGTGGGTCTCGAACTCAATCCTGCCAGAGAATTTATTAAAAGAGATGGCTGGGCCCCACCCCCAGAGTTTCTGCATCAGTAGGTCTGGGGTGGAGCCTGGAAATCAGCATTTCTGATACCATCCCAGGTGAAGCAGAGGCTACTGGTCCCAGGACCCCACTTTGAGAACCTCTGTTCTGGTGGTTCTCACCTCTGATAGCCCAATCCCATTACCGGGGCACTCCCCAAACCCTGGCAGCGGGAACTCGGCCTGGGTGTAAACAAAAAGCCTCCCGGGCATTGTCCTAGAGCTCCCGGGGCACGCTCTCAGAACGGCAGATTCCAGGAACCTCCCAGAGATCCTGGTAAATCTGGGGTGAGGCCCAGAGCTGCCCATGCCTGGAGAAAAGGCCCTGAAGCGCTCAGTTTGAAAATGGACCAGGGCGAGGACACAGCTGCACCCTCAGGCCTTAAATTCAGGCTACTCCCAGTCTGAGGCTTTGTGCCCCGCTACCCTGCAGGTCTGAGAGCCAGTAGAGGCCTGGCTTCGGGCCCAGCTCCTGAGCCCTGTGCATGTGCTTGATTTTACAGTGAGGGCTTTTGCCCGAGATACATAGGAAGGTAAAAAACATTGCAAGCCCCTGCCCTTGTCCCCTGCCGGCTCCGTGCTCTAGGGGAAGGGAGACCAGTTCTCCCCACTGTGTCTGCTTTGGGGGCCTTGGAGCAGAGCCCAGGGTCTCTGAGTGCCCAGCCTGTGTGGTCAGCATCCCCCTGGAGCTCAGAATGCAAACTGGACTAGATGAGCTCCCAGCATGGGGGGCAGGGTGTTTTCTCACTCTGTCACCCAGGCGGAAGTGCCATGGTCCAATCATAGCTCACTGCAGTCCTCCTGTCCCAGCTTCCCAAGCAGCTAGGACGACAGGCACATGCCCCCACGCCTGGCTAATTTTATTTTTTACTGTTTTTTGGAGATGGACCTTGCTATGTTACACAGATGAGGTGTACGGTCCTGGGCTCAAGTGATCCTCCCGCCTTGGCCTCCCAGCCTCGGGCTGTGGTTTATTTAGCTTACACAATTTGTAAAAATTTAAAATATATTAGCAACATCTGAACATCAGTTGCATTCACATTTTTTTTTTTTTTTTGAGACGGAGTTTTCGCTCTTGTTACCCAGGCTGGAGTGCAATGGCGCGATCTCGGCTCACCGCAACCTCCGCCTCCCGGGTTCAGGCAATTCTCCTGCCTCAGCCTCCTGAGTAGCTGGGATTACAGGCACGCCCCACCATGCCCAGCTGATTTTTTGTATTTTTGGTAGAGACGGGGTTTCACCATGTTGACGAGGATGGTCTCAATCTCTTGACCTCGTGATCCACCCGCCTCGGCCTCCCAGAGTGCTGGGATTACAGGTGTGAGCCACCGCGCCCGGCGCATTCACATTTTTTAAACTTTTTTTTTTTTTTTTTTTAAAGACAGAGTCGTCTCACTCTCACTAAGGCTGGAGTGCAGTGGCGCGATCTCGGCTCACTGGAACCTCTGCCTCCCAGGTTGAGGTGATTCTTCTGCCTCAGCCTCCTGAGTAGCTGGAATTACAAGTACCCAGCTAATTTTCGTATTTTTAGTAGAGACAGGGTTTTGCCATGTTGGCCAGGCTGGTCTTGAACTCCTGACCTCAAGTGATCCACCTGCCTCCTAAAAATACGAGAATTAGCCAAGCGTGGTGGCTCCAGCCTGTACTCCCAGCTACTCAGGAGGCTGAGGCAGGGGAATCTCTTGAACTCAGGAAGTGAAGGTTGTAGTAAGCTGAGATCATGCCACCGCACTCCAGCCTGGGTGACAGAGCAAGACGTGTGTGTGTGTGTATAGAGAGAGAGAGAGAGACAAATATATGTATATAAAATAATATATATATGTATATGTATTACATATACAGTATATGCTATATACTGTATATGTAATACATATATATTACATGTGATACATATTACATAATATATTGCATGTATAATATATACTATATCATATGTATGTAATATGTATATTACATAAATGTGTGGTATAGGAACCACATGCATATGTAATACGTGTTTTCTATATTACATACATATCTATTAGGAGATGGGGCAGCACAGACCTGCATTGTACGTCATTGCTGCCTCTGCTGTTCCCTGAACATGTGTTAAATGTGGCTTCACCCTCACCTAGTCCGTTTCGCTCCTGATATTCCCTGTGTGGTCCCTGAAGGCACCTGAATGAGTGCCCTCTGTGCTGGGTGGAGCGGGGAGGCCCCTCCAGCGTTCCCCCAGCCTCGAGTCCCACAGCCCCCCACTTGGGGCTTCTCTCTCCTTCTCTCCGCAGGGCCACGTGGCTGACGCTCACCCTGGTGCTGGCCTTCCTCCTGCTCCTCAGCACCACAGCAAACCTGTCCTTGCTGCTGTCCAGAGCACAGAGGAACCGGCGACTCCGTGGGGACTACGCCTACCACCCACTGCAGGAGATGAATGGGGAGCCCCTGGCCACAGAGAAGGAGCAGCTGGGGGGCGCCCACAACCCCTTCAAGGACTGAAGCCTCAAGCTGCCTGGGGTGGCACGTCCCGAAGGCTTGTTGCCCCACGGTCCAGCTTCTGCAGGGGAAATGTCCAGGCCCCTGGCACGGACCATCTGAGTGTCCTCAGCCCCTCACCTGGCTGCCCACCGGGGCACCTGTGGCCCTAGCGATCCCGTTCTCCCCGAGGGACTGAGCCTCCTGCTTCCTGCCTGCCTGTGTCTGCTGCCGAGAAGCCTGTGCAGAGGAGGGCCGCCGCGCTGCCAGAGAGTCTCCCTCCTCCTGGGGAAAGGGGCTGCCCGCAAACCGAACTCAGTGACCAAATCATGACAAAACAGCACATCGTGGCTGGCGCCCCGGCTGCAGTGGAAGGGACCAGTTCATCCTGTGACACAGGACCCCTTTTCTGGATTTGCCAACTCGAATTGGATTTCCTGTCACGGGAAGCTCATTGGAAGAAGGGATGGGGGGTGAAATCATGTTTACAGACCTATTTTGTCATCCTGCTGCCAAGAAGATTTTTTTAATCACTTGAATAAATTGATATAATAAAAGGAGCCACCAGGTGGGGTCTGGATTCTGCATCATGGACTTCTGGGCACTGCTGGGGCTTAGCAGCGGGCGCTTATCCTGAAACAGAGGTCACCACGGCGGCTGCAAGCCAAGTCCTGCTCCCTGCTTGTTTAAGCCAGTGCTGCTCAAACTTTAATATGCCACGGGTCATAAGGAGATCTTGTTAAAATGCAGGTTGGGGCCTCAGGTGAGGCCAGCAGTTCATTTCCAGCAAGCTCGCAGGCAACGCTGATGCTCCAGGTCTCTCAGGGTCTTGCTCTGTTGCCCCAGCTGGAATGCAGTGGTGCAGTCTTGGCTCACTGCAGCTTCAACCTCCTGGGCTCAAGTGGTTCTCCCGCCTCAGCCTCCCAAGTAGCTGGGACTACAAGCACATGCCACCATGCCTAGCTACTTTTTTTTAAACTTTTTACAGAGAAGTGGTCTCACTGTGTTGCCTAGGCTGGTCCTGAATTCCTGGACTCAAGTGATCCTCCTGCCTTGGCCTCCCAAAGTGCTGGGATTACAGGCATGAGCCCTTGCACCCAGCCTGCGATTTCTTTTTTTTTTTTTTTTTTTTTTTGAGACGGAGTTTCGCTCTTGTTACCCAGGCTGGAGTGCAATGGCGCGATCTCGGCTCACCGCAACCTCCGCCTCCTGGGTTCAGGCAGTTCTGCCTCAGCCTCCTCAGTAGCTGGGATTACAGGCACGTGCCACCATGCCCAGCTAATTTTTTGCATTTTTAGTAGAGATGGGGTTTCACCATGTTGACCAGGATGGTCTCGATCTCTCGACCTCGTGATCCACCCGCCTCAGCCTCCCAAAGTGCTGGGATTACAGGCGTGAGCCACCGCGCCCGGCTGCCTGTGATTTCTTTTTAATTTATCATTGTGATACCTATTTTCTTTGCCTGCCCAACTTCCTGTCTGTCTGCTAGCAACAGCCCTGTCTTAGGCTGTGTTTTCCCAGAAGCAGAAACTGAGCCGAGGATGTGACAGCAAGTAGTTTATTGGAGAGGTGAGCCCAGGAAGCAGTGGCAGAGGACAGGGAGGGAAGGCAGCCAGCGCAGGATGCAGAAGTGAGCAGGTCTTGGCTGGAGCCGACAGGGCTCGGTCCTGCTGGGGACCTCCGGGAGAGATGATAGAACAGGTCTCAGTCGTACCACTCCGGGGCAAGGAAGCTGGGGTGTTAGCCAACACCCAGTCATCGATGGTTGAGGGCCACTCCTGGGGTTTGACTCCCTGGCACTGCCAGTCTGCCCTACACAGAGACTGAGTGTGCCTTGGCAACCACAAGGAGCTGTGGGAATGTTGCAGTGTCTTGCAACATGGAGCCTTCCATGGTAATGAGAGTGCCCGGGGAGGCGGCCAGGGCTCCAGGATCCCTGGCTGTGAGTCTCTAGCGTGTTGCTTCCAGGCTTGTATCACTCCCCGATTCTCCATCCAGGCAATTTGGGTGGCGCTGTTTTCTCTCCACATGTTGCAGGTGAGCCTCAGAGACTGGTCCAGAGTTAGGCACCTGCCCCGGGTCAGCCAGTTAGAGCCCGCCCTGGAACTTCCGCTGCAGCTAGAAGAAGAAACTCTTTCTGCTGGGATTCTCTAACTTCCAAGGTGTGGACCACAAGGAGGAGGAAGGGAAACCAACTCTTTTCCAATGTGGAGAAGACCTGATCAGAACCAAGAGGTGGAGAGGGAGAGCCAGTATGGAAATGGACTAAACCGAGGGTGAGGGAGACCATGATTTGAATGCCTGGATCCAGCTATACCTGAAGCCAGATCATTCTTGGACTTCTAAATTACATAGACTCATAAATTCTCATTTTTGCTTGAGACAATTTGTATTGAGTTTTAGGGGTGTCTCACAACCCAAAACGTGTGGCCCTTGTACTGTTAAAGGAGATGCACATTTGGGGGCTCAGGCACTTAGATTTTGGACTGCAGAGCTTAGATAGGACATGGAGCAGGAGGCAGAAGTGTGTGAGACCCCAGTACCTACCTATGGTGGTGGTGGGGCCACAGATAAACAAGAGCTGAAGTCATCAAGCTGCAGGCAAGCTGGCTGGGGATTCACATGCTCCAATCCCGGCAGTGTGAGCGTCCTCTCCCCGACCCACGGTAGTGACTAAAGACCCCCAGGTACAGGCACAGGGGTCGTGGACTGCAGGCTGAAGTCTCTGCAGCCCAACTGGGAACCCTGAGAGTTCCAGGTGCTGGGCTGTCGCCATGGTGGCACGTCTCAGCTGCTGGAGTGCTCTGCACAAAACTTGACTATCCAGTGGGTGGGCTTTCAAGGACTCTTGGGGGCCCCAAAACAAAGGAAATTCGTGCGTGTGTCCTGAGTTTTCATGGGATTTTCCAAGGAATCTGTGTCTGAAAAAAAAAAAAAAAAATCCTGGCTCAGAGGCTTCCAGTTGTGCTTTCTGCCAGCTTGGGCAACATGGCCCTGCCACTACAAAAAATACAAAAATTAGGAGCGGTGGCACGCACCTGTGGTCCCAGCTACTCTGAGGCTGAGGTGGGAGGATCGCTTGAGACCAAGAGGTTGAGGCCACAGTGAACCATGGTCACGCCACCGCACTCCAGCCTGGGTGACAGAGACCCCATCTCCAAAACAAAATATGATTTTTGGAGACCTGCATTCCTCCAAAATGGGCTGGAGGGGACAGGGCGCTAAGGGAGGCAGGGAAGTGGGCAGGGAGGCAGGGAGACGTTGATGGCTGCCACCGCTGGCATCCCTGGAGGTCCTGGTTCCTTTCCTCTCAGCCCTCCCAGCTCCCATGGCAGCTGCTTGCGTCCAACCCGACTCCACAGAGGTCCCAGGGGACCGCGCCCCAAGAACTGATCCCAGAGGCAGCCTCTGGGCCACAGGGAGCCCTGCGCGTGCTTTGCCTGCTCTGGAGCTGCAAGACAGGCATCAGCAGGGCCCTGCAGCTCAGGCCTGGTCCCAGCTCCCGCCCACCCTCCACAGCTCCGTCTTCCCCCACAGAGCTGTTCTTTCTCGCCACCCGCGAGTCAGCTGGCTGTTCCTTTGAAACCCGCCGCCCACAGTTCCAGAGAAATCCATGGAAGAGTCACCACCAGTGAGCACACGGAAGTGCAAGCCGCCTCCTCTCCCCTGACGAGCTGTGCTGGGCAGGGCTGGGTGGCAGAAGCTGGCTGGACAGATGAACCTTGCGCCATCACTCAAAACACCACACCTGCTCTGCTGTCACAACCGACCACCCCAGCCACCAGCTCCAGAACGAAGGCTTTTCAGAGTCCAGGGATCTATGCGGCAGCCAGCCCCATTCTTTGTGCCCCAAGAGACCTCAATGGAAGGACAGGTGGCACCCTGGACAGGGTCCAACACACTTCTGATGTCAGGACTGCGGCTGTCTTGGGACGTAGCTCTCCAGGACACCAGGTCTGGCACTGTGGTAAAACCCCAGGGGGCAGGGCAGAGCAGCCCAGGAGAGATGGATGACAGGCCCTCACTTTCACCTGGATACCTGGCAGGTAAATTCCAAGCAGTGCTGAGCAGGGCCCGGAGATCTTCATATCTGTTTAATGCAGATATAACTGTGTTTCTGGTTATCTGTTGTGTGTATACATAATAAGTTGAATAGCATGCCCCAAAATTCATGTCCATCTGGAACCTTAAAATGTGACCCCATTTGGAAATAAGATTTTTTTTTTTTTTTTTTTTAAGACAGAGTCTTGCCTGTTGCCCGGGCTGGAGTGCAATGGCAAGATCTCAACTCACTGCAACCTCTTCCCCACTAGGTTCCAGCGATTCTCCTGCCTCAGCCTCCTGAGTTGCTGGGACTACAGGCACACGCCATCACACCCGGCTAATTTTTGTATTTTTAGTAGAGATGCGGTTTCACCATGTTGGTCAAGATGGTCTCGAACTCCAAACCTTGTGATCCACTCGCCTCAGCCTCCCAAAGTGCTGGGATTATAGGCGTGAGCCACCGTGACTGGCCTGAAATAAGATCATTGCAGATGTAATTAGTCAAGGATCTCAAGATGTTACACTGGACTTAGGATGGGTCCTAAATCCAATGACTGGTGTCCCTATAAGAAGGTGAGACACAGAGAGAGGAAGGCTGTATGACGGTGGAAGCAGAGATTGAAGTATTGAGACCATGGGCCACAAGGTGCCACCAGAAACCAGAAGAGGCAAGGAGGGGCTCTCCCCTACAGCCTTCAGAGGGAGCAGGGCCCTGCCTCCGCGTTGATTCTGGACTTCCAGCCTCCAGAACTGTGAAAGAATACGTTCCTGTTGTTTTAGGCTACTAAGTGTGTGATAATTTGTCACAGTGACCCTAGGAAGCTGTTACAGTATATTTCTGCTTTATATATAAAAATTGTAGGCCAGGCATGGTGGCTCACGCCTGTAATCCCAGCACTTGGGAGGCCGAGGCGGGCAGATGACCTGAGGTCGGGAGTTTGAGACCAGCCTGACCAACATGGAGAACTCCTATCTCTACTAAAAACACAAAATTAGCCAGGCGTAGTGGCGCATGCCTGTAATCTCAGTTACTCAGGAGGCTGACGCAGGAGGATCGCTTGAACCCAGTGGGTGGAGGTTGCAGTGAGCCGAGATCATGCCACTGCACTCCAGCCTGGGAGACGAGCAAAACTCCATCTCAAAAAAAAAAAAAAAAAAAAAAAAAAAAAATTGTGATCTTCCCTCACATGGCCCAATAACCTAACCTAAGATCCTTAACTAATTACATCTGCAAAAAACCTTATTTCCAAACGAGGTCACATTGTAAGGTTCTAGGTGAACATGAATTTTGGGGCATGTTATGCAATCCATTACATATGCATACAATATATATGATACACAGTTATACCTGCATTAAAGATATGCAGATTTGCAACCCCTTGGGAATGACTGTCACCCGTCTCTCTTTTTTTTGGGGGGGGGGGGTTGGGAGGGTGGGGTAGAGTCTCTCTCTCTCACCCAGGCTGGAGTGCAGTGGCACAATCTCAGCTCACTGCAACCTCTGCCTCCTGGGTTCAAGTGATTCTTCTGCCTCAGCCTCC